TGATTGAAGAAGTGTATATACAAGAAGTTCAAATGACAGAGCAACCTCTATATGCTCAATTGGTAGTGCGCCACGAATGGCATGAATTCGATAGATATAGTGCTGGAAGGCAAAGGTAAGGCCAAGTTCAACATCAATGAAGAACATGTTTGGGCCACAAAGTATGTTTGCAAGACCAATAAGGATCAACTTGATGTGGTCAAAGTTAGTGTAGAAGAGGAAGTTCCAACAATGAACTTGCATAAATGAGAGAGGGGGTGTAGAGACAATGGGAGATAAAGAGGGTGATATAATGAATGTATGTCCTGCCATTAAAAATAAGCGGATGTTACTCACATAGATAGAAAGGTGTTAGGTGCTTCATTTTTTATATTTTATGATTTATTTTGCATTACTCCATGATGTGGACTGTCAGAAGCTCCTCAAAAAATAATTCATGGATAAATTTTATACCTTTACCTTGTGCCGTATTAGGTTGCAAAGATGAATTGGTTGAAAGCATTGACGAAGGCCCCAAAGAGGGGATGACGAGGATGACTGTCATGATCGATGCATCATAAAAAAAATAATAATTGATTGATTAATCCATATCATTAATTTTTATCATTTGCTACCTCCATTAAAAAAAAAGTATTTTTAATCGAATTTCAATCTATTAAATTGTTTAATTGTCTTCAAAGTTCCAACCAACCTCTTTTCATATCTATCATCATTTATTAACAGGGTGTTTACTTAAAAAATAATATAAAATGATTTATTTATTAAGGATGTTTTGAAAAAAAAATATATTAATTACAATTTAAAACACTAAAAAGCCATACATTTTTTAATATATTTTATAAAAAATTTGAAAAAAGATTCCAACGTTGAAACTTGCATATATATAGAAAGAATATCACCGCCAACATCAGTTAAAATATACATAATCAGGATCAGGATCATCGTTATTACACGAACTATCCATAAATCACAAAGTTAAAAAATGAATATCAGTTTCCATCACTAATCGCTTTAAATGATCTCAATCAGAACAAAGCTACTTTCAAATTGTGCTGCCAAGATAATACGAACAAAATAAAGGGCTCTAAAGTTTTCTTCTTGGAATGCTACTGTATATCTCGAATTCATTTTTTGCAACCGACCACTGAGCTGGGGCCTCGGAGTATCCGTTGATCTGGTTCCTTTTGGCGTTCAAGTCCTTTGCAACTAATGTGATGGTTAGAGATAGTAACGAATAAGTCATGGGCCCTTAGGGACAACGGGGAGCAACGCAGAGCTAACAGAAGATCGGATGGCTATAACAATAGCAAGCACAATCTTTTGTCAGATCTGGCAGAGCAAGGAGGTGAGGGATCTGCATTTCGCGTTCATTACTCGAATAGATGATCCTTACACTCCATTTCATCTCAAAAATAATATCTGCTGTTGATTTTAAATTAATTTTTAAATATTTTAAATATTATATTTATGGAAATAAAAATTTTAGAAAATCAATATTAAATTTGAATTACTTACGGTGCTCATTAAATGATGAGCATTATGATACACATTATCTTTGAAAGGATTTGAACAATTTAGATTTTAGTTTTTATTTTTATTTTATATTTATCAAGATAAAAATGTATAAAAAAGATCAAATTTTCAATAAATTTATTTATCATCAATCTTGTTAGCATATATTTAATTTAAATGATACAATTTAATATAATTTTTTATCATAAATTGATTATATAAATATACCCTAAATGGTACAAATATAATCTGAACAAACAATTTAATATTAATTGTTTTATAATTTTATAAATTGGCTGTCTAGATATACTTTAAACAGTTTAGATTTAATATTAATTTTTTATTATTTTTATTTTCACAAATATAATATTTAAAATATTTAAAATAAATTTAAAATCAGAAGTAGAGATATGTTATAAAATATTTGGGTATGAGCACTGATGAGAACGCAATGTGGATCCGGGGAGGTGAAGAGCTTTCAAGACCCATGAATTAGGGCAAAGGAGATGAGAGGGGGAGGCTGATAAAAAATTTAAAAAACATTAAATGCTCCCAACGTCCACCACCACCAGACTCACTGCTCAGTATAAAAGCTTACTTAATTGGCTTTGTTGAAAACACTCGTTCTAACTCCAATGTTTGTTCAGTTTCAAGAGCTCTTGTACTTTCAACATCCCAACCTGGAGCTGATCTAACCAAACATAGCCTAAGTTATTAATTGCCAAATACACTTGTCACTTTTTTCAACTGCTTGCACCACAATTTCAATGCACGAGAAGAATTTAACTGGAACCATTCATGAAAACAAATCATCTGGCTTATAGATTGTTGTAAAGACCTTCACTGTCCGGCAAAAGGTCCCTTGATGAACTGTGATTCAAGTACCTCCATTTACTAACTTTATAATATGCATCTTGTTGATCTCTTCTCTAGCTCTTCCTCGATCGCCATCGGTCCAGAGTTTTTGGAACTGTGATTCCCCTTTTCACCCATAAGCATTAACCAATGAGTCTCACTCACAAGTTTCTAAGCATTGCATTGCCTCTAGTAACATCAATGCTCCTCCCCATTATCACACTACCATTTCTCTTCTAGAAGCTAATTCTTTCTGTGAAAAAGTTGGTTTGCGTCGAAAATCTGACCGGAAAAGTCGTAATAATCACTGGTTCAGCCTCAGGAATTGGTGAGGTCTGTGCATAAGTCTACTTGTTTGATTTTAACTTGTTATATGAGTTGTTAACCTTGCACAATTATTAAGTCTTTATTTATTTATTTTCAAAATCAAAAGCAACTTGCTTACGAGTATGCTAAGCGAGGAGCAGTTCTATCTCTGGTTGACATTAGAGAGGATAACCTGAAAGCAGTTGCCGATGAGGCTGCGTCTCTGCGTTCCCCGGATGTTATCACAATCGTTGCTGATGTGTCTAAGGTTGAAGATTGTAAGCGGTTTGTTGATGAAACCGTTAATTACTTCGGACACAGTAAGTGAAGTGTAATCTACCGTATTATTTTAAGGTTAACTGCTGATAACTGTCATTTCTTTGGTTGTTTTCTTTGTAAATTGCAATTATGATTGATTGATATGTTACAGTGGATCACCTAGTAAACAATGCTGGAACTGGAATGGTTGAAAAGTTGGAGGATTGTATCGATGTCTCTGTGCCACGTCCTGTTATGGTGAGATATCAGTATTTCAGATCCAGTCTCACAAAAGATATTATAAGACAAACTATCCATGAAGCAAACTGATTCTGTGATTGAGTTCAAAGGCAGTACAGAATCATTTCTGATCAGCAAAATTTTCACTAGTAAAACATATACAATTTAGTTGCACGAGCTGTCGTGAGAGAAAGATTGTAACTTATAGTGTCCTGTTTGTGATTTTTATAAGTGGAGTGTGCTATTTAATTTTGCAGGAGGTAAATTTTTGGGGAGCACTTTATGGGGCTCTGTTTGCAATTCCACACCTGAAAAAGAGCAGAGGCAAAATCGTCGTGATTGCTTCGGGTTTGGGATGGTACCCTCTTCCCAGACTCGGTTACTATAATGTAAGACTCAATCATGGAATTTCCAAAACCTACAATTTTTATTTCAGAAAAAGACAAAAAATATATCATTTGTCTTATCATTTCAGGCAAGTAAGGCAGCAGTCATAAACTTCTTTGAGACACTGAGAACTGAACCTGGTTGGGCGATTGGCTTCACAATTGTTTCGCCTGGCTTCATCAAAATAGACCTTTCAAAGAAAGCCATGGCTTCGGAGGTTATCAAGCCTTAATTTTTCACTTCATCGTATTATATATTAATTAGGTTATTTATAAGCATAACTATAATTACAATTACATCTGTATTAGCTCTCACGGTGATTGGAATTATGTGGAAGCAGCCGAGTCTGAGAATATTTCCAGTGGGATCAGCAGAGGAATGTGCGAAAGCAGTTGTAAAAGGTTTGTGTAGGGGAGAAATGTACGTGACATACCCTTTATGGGTGAAGCTGGGATTTCCTTTGAAGGTGATTTTTCCAGAACATGTGGACTGGGTTCATCGCCTGATTTTCAGGATACCTACCGATGCGTTTGAAGACAAGGAAAATCTGAATTTATCTCAGAACTCGCAACTTAAAGCAGAGTAAAAGGTTTACGATTTGCGATTGTTCACTGATATGGTCATTTTGGACTGTAAATGTACTATGGGTATGCAACTCTCAGTTGTTTGTGATTGTAAGGCACTATAGTTGGCGATAATAATATTTCGGATATTCATTGCCTAGCATGCATTGAACTTTCCTACACAAGTGTGAATGTAATGGTGGAAAAAATTGAAAACATCATGAAAAGAATTCTGTAGAGAACTTCGTAATGGAGATTAAAGATTGTTTATCAAAAAAGAAAAAGTTGAAGATGTTATTTTTCAATGCAAAATTAAGGATCCGTTTAAATTTTAGTTGGGCATAATAGATTATAAAAATAATTGATTAAGTGATAGATTTTAATTATAATTGATTATGTTAGAATGCAATCTGTTCAGATGTTATTTTTTTTAAAATTGATTTTAACAAAATTAAAGATATTTATATAATTTTTTTAGAATTAATTTTAGCATTTAAATTACCATAAAAGATATTATTTTTTAAAATTAAATTATTGATAAATTTGTATCTAATAGTATTAAAGTTGTTATATTTTATTTAAGAAGTAAAATATATTATTGGTTTTATTTTTATTAAATTTTGGGATTTTTTTATAATTTTTTCTTGGGTCTTTGTTTGTAATTTTCTCCAACGCTTGCAAACTCGGATGGCGGTTTAATGTGGCACTGCCAAGTAGACAGACGATGCTCTCGAATGCTACGTGTTGAAGACTCTGCATGCAGAAAGGCTACGTTGTTTTGGACGCTACCGTCACCACTATTCTCTCCATATTTTTACGCTTCTCACAAGTTCTCTCTAATCCATCATCCAACGTCTCTTGTTTTTCCTTCTCGCATTCATGGATTCTATTCATTGGATTCTGAATCTTCTAGTTCCTCCAATAGTCCTCGTTTTGCTGTTCTGCTTTTTGCCACTTTATCTGCTCTTTAAACTTCTCAGCTTCATCATAAGATCAACATACAGTGAGAATGTGGCTGGAAAAGTAGTGCTCATCACCGGCGCCTCCTCAGGCATAGGCGAGGTTCTTTCACTCACCCAGGTCAAATGTTTCAAAGCTTCAGCTCCATTATAACAGCAAAGTGATTTTTTTTTCCTGTCCTCTGTTTTTTCAAAGCATCTAGCATATGAGTATGGTAGGAGGGGATCACGTCTAGCTCTTGTGGCTAGAAGAGAGAACAGACTGAGAGAGGTGGCCGGAAAAGCCAAGATGGTGGGGTCCACCGATGTCATCACCATCGTAGCAGACGTTTCTAGAGTTGAAGACTGTAAACGGTCCGTTGATTTGACAGTGAGCCACTTTGGACGATGTGAGCTGAGCTTTACTTTTTGTAATTATGAATTCCAAGTTTATAGGAATGCTTTGTTCCACTGCTCAAACTTACTGCGGCATTTTTCTTAATTTTTTGGGATAAAAAATAATATTAGCAGTGGATCATCTGGTGAACAACGCTGGAATAGTTCCTCTCTGCTTGTTCGAACAATCCTCTGATGTTACCAATTTTGCACCTGCCATGGTAAAACTCAGACCTTGCGAGTGTACATTTTAGCAGTGGAAGCAAGAAGAAATATCTAGCTCATTATTTAGTAATTACGTCTTGAGACTATAAAATTGATTGATATGCTCTGTACGTAACAGGACATAAATTTCTGGGGTTCGGTGTATACCACATATTTTGCTATTCCCCACCTAAGAAAAAGCAAAGGTAAGATCATAGGCATAACTTCTTCATCAGGATGGTTGCCTGCACCAAGAATGATGTTCTACAACGTAAGAGACCTCATCCACAAACTAAGCTTCCTTAATATCTTGCTACCATTAGTAATTAATTAATTTAGAGTTTTCAATATATTGGTTCAGGCAAGCAAAGCGGCAGCGATCAACCTATACGAGTGTCTGAAAGCTGAATTAGGAAAAGGCATAGGAATAACAATAGTAACTCCGGGGCTGATCGAGTCAGAAATGACCCAAGGTAAGTTCCTATCCAAGGAAGGCCGCATGATTCTTGACCAGGAAATGAGAGATGTAAGCAAGCTTTGAATTGCCTTTTCTGGTGTTGAAACTGCACATATATGTATGTGACTTCAATTGATTTGATGGAAACAGGTTCAAGTGAGTGCGATGCCCATGAGATCCGTGGGTTTAGCAGCAGAAGCAATTGTTAATGGCGCCTGTCGTGGGGACTCGTACCTGACAGAACCAGGTTGGGTGAGAACCACATTCTACTGGAAGGCTTTTTGTCCGGAGTTATTGGAGTTGTTGAACAGGTGGTTGCTCGTCTCAGGGCCTTCAGAGAGAGAAACTATCGGCAAGAAGCTCCTTCAACTAAGTGGCCTAAAGAAATATCTGTATCCCCAGTCAGTCAGAGAACCCAAGCTCAAGCCCAACTAGAACATGTATACGTTATAAAACAGTTTCCATTATTCAACATGGAAATTGGTCTGCTATAAGATGCCATGGCTAAAACCTTTTTTTTCTGAGAAAGTGATTGCACCAAAATGTTGCACTAGTAGTAATGTATAATAGTGGGATCATAACCCTGATGAGGTCGGAGTGTAAGCATTCAAAAATATTTCTAAGTTAGAAAGCTGCGAAGCTTAATTGCCCTCTGTATGCTTGCTACACGCGACGGAAGAAGTGCATATTTGCTTTGCCGCGTCTTTGGTGGTTGTGTGTGTGTGTACCCACTTATACGTGGTATTACTTTCCATGTTTATATATATATATATATATATATATATATCAATTCGAGCTTTAATAATACTAAAGTTTTTTCTTATTTTAAGGTAAGATGAAAGAAATGTTTTATGAATGTTTATATAATATAATTTTTCTTTTTTTGTTTAATAATCTTTTTATATTAAAAAGAAAGATAAAAATATTTCTAAGTTGCTGTCAATATTTTATTTATACGTATATATAGTTTGTCTTAGCATTTATACTATATATATATATATATATATAATTTTTAAGAATGCCCAAACGTTCTTCCTTTGTTTTAATGAATTGATTTGGGGATTATGCGTGTAAATAATTATGTACGTGTCTTATGTCTCTATCTTAAAAATTAAAAAATTGCCATATATATGCTGTTGCTTTGAAAGTCAAAGTCCTACACGTTTCAATAAAATTTAAAAATAAAAGAAATGCGTATGATTTTGAGAAACTTTAAATTTACTCTTGTATTATTATACTTTTCTATGCGCAGAATAAAACAATGCCTATGTGTGTATCCCCCTTCCTCCATGCACATATAAGAGTCCAGGCCCTACTAGCCCATTTAAAAGCATTATTTCACTCATTTTATATTCATTAAGCGATGATTCTTCAATTGCTTTTAATTTAAATGGTTACTCTTTACTAACAACGTTAGGGACAAACTGCACTGTACATGAACAGCGTGAAAGAAAGATGAACCAACCGATACAAAATCTCCTTCGTCAGGTTAGGGAGATATAGCAACACCTCAACATAATCTGTGTGTACGAGTGTTTTTTTTTAAATAATGTATGGCTCAAATGCCTTGCCTTTTTTTATTGGCCGGTTACTTTTCTTTTGTGTCTTTTAATTCACTTGGACAACATGCACTTATCCTTCCGCCCACATAATATATCCTAATATAATTTCAGTGGAAATTTTCCCTTTGCATATATATTCATATATTTCTTGTGGTCTTTGCATTCTTAAATTAGTGTGTAGTGTGATTTCATACCCCATACCACTCCAATACGGGCCACGCCGCCATATCTTGCTTATTTAATGAAGCCTGCAGTATTTAAATAAGAGACTGACAGATCTAGTCTCGGCTTATAAAAGCTTTCATATTGGTTTTCATGAAACAGGAAATGAAAAAACTACGCGTGGAAAACAGAAGAGCATTGGATCAATAATGCTATAACTTGCAAGATCATCTTCTCATTGGCGGAAGCGGTTGGTACAAGCATTCAATAATATAATAAACAGATTCTTGCTTATTAGCATATACACCTCCACATTGTTAGGCTTTTCATTATTTTAATGCAGAAGTTCTCTTCTGGGATTGATTAAGCGAATGGTGCAGCAAGCAGCAACATGATTATTTTGTTTGAGTCTGTAAATAACGTTGTATAACATTTGTTGCATCAAGTTCAAGTGTAGGTGGCTTTGGCTATATATATGATTAAGAGTATTCTTTAACTGTAGGTAGCAAATTGAAGCTTAAGTTGTGACAAAAAATACTGTTTTTAAGAGCCATTCTAGCACATTTGATTTGTTTGCACAATGACACCCCATAACCAAACAAACTCATCCTGCCAAATAGTCAGGACAACAGAACAATAGAAACTAACAAAAATAAACTCATTTAGCACAACATAGCATTTGAAGAAGGAGGAGAGCATCAGCTTGAAAGTTCAAGAGCCAAGCAACTAAGAAGTTACCAAATGTTGGCGCACATTAAAACATCCAAGAAATTGGTTTTGTCTTTTTAACCTCTGGTTAATGGCATTCAAAACGCAGTTTAAGGGATTTAAACTCTAAAATGCCAAACTCAAATATTTTCGGATAAGCATATTATACAAAATTAATTTTTCAATTGTGAAAAATTAAACTCCAAAAAAAACCCATACCTCTTTGACTCACACAAAAGGGGGATAAATCAACTATTTTCATCTATAATTACTTTATGTAGGCTTGCCCACATTTCCTTTAAACCCATTTATCAGCTCATTTTATTTCTTAATATATATACATTAGGAGCTCTTCTCATTTGAGCCATGTAAAACTTTTCCTTTTGACATACTTACACAACAATTACAACTAGCTAGTATTAGTGCTGAGAAAGAAGATTCCATTAATGCATGGAAGCAAAAATGGTGAAGAAGCTGTGGTTGATGGTGATTGTTGCTGGTGTTTGGGGCACGCAGCGGAGAGAGTGCATTTGCGATTCCACTGAATCCATGCCCCCTTTCTCAGTGCGATATGGCTCAATGCTCTCCAGGCCATGCAAGTTTCTGAGTGCAAGCTGTGTACATAATTCCAAGGTTGAAACTTGAAAAAGTTATAAATTACATAGCTTCCTAAATTATTTTTCCAGACACCTGTTCAGCTCAAGGCAGCATTTCGTATACAATAGTATTTACTTTTATTTTTGCGCCATGTTTCTTGTGCACTATAAATTTGATTATCGAATATTATGCATGTATAATACAATTAAAGTCATATTATTATTAAGAAATGAACGATACTGTCTACTTTTAAATTTCATGTAAATGTACAAATCTCAAATCTACTTCTATAGACACACATATGTATGGCGTATGCATAAAAAATTATAATAGATGAGGAATATAAATTTAAAGGTCATGTTCACACAACTTGCTTCCTCTTATGATGAGTTAACTTATTTTTTTGTGCCAAATTAAATGGGAATTTTTCCCCGTGAAGAAGTGAAACTAAAAATCAATTGAACAGTGTGTGCGTGTGGAGCATAAAATGTAAGAGTAATTTAATATTGAAGCCTGAAAAGTAATATAAAGTAGAAGTAGAATTAGATGGCTAACGAGCGTACCTACGTAGCTTAATTAGTAAAAAGTCGTAGGCCTAACTAGTGGTTTTGAATTCAAGTACTAAATATGTAGTTGTATTAAATGCTTATTAAGAGAGCTTTGCCACTAACATAGTCATACTTAGCATGGCTAAAAAGGTATGTGAAAATTTGCTGTTGATCATGAAATCATGTGAAGATATAAATAATAAGCGGTGATTAAACAACCAATATATTAGATGAATAGATACGATCATGCGAGATCATCAACATGGGGGGAAAAATTCAAAGCTGTTTTATTTTTATTTTTTTGCAAAAAAAAAACCTGTTTTAATTTTCCCTTATAGAAAAGTATAGCGCTGCACTGTATATTATACTTTTTTATTCGCGCATGAAGGTAATGATGTGAGAATTTTCTCACTCATTTTATATACTCATTTTGTAATAAATTCTCAATTTGTTAAATACCTATCATATTCTAAAGGGTTAAAGTGATCATTAACAGGGGGGGCATTTTCCTCCTTTAGAAAATGGTTTAAAAAATGTTTGATTTATTAGTACAGGATGTCCAATGCTTATTAAAGTATAATGGCAAAAATACACCTTAATTTTATTATTACTATTAAAAGTTAGCAAGAACATAAACCGACCTTTACTAAATCTTCTAATAAGTTAGGTTAGGGTGACCACGCATCACCTCAAAGTGACAAAAATTAAATTTACTTTGTTGATAACGTGAAGCTCGAAATTAATTTAGGAATACTGTGCTTCTTGAAGTATTGATTATTCACAGGACAAAATGTACTTTAAATTCCGTCTACATAATGATAATGTATATTCAGTGAGCATTCTTATTCCTTTTCATTTTCATGTATTTCTTGCGTATATTGCATAGTTAAATCAGTGTATAGTGAGATTCCATACCTCATACAGTTCGATGCCTCCTTATCTTGGTCATTTAATTAAGCAAACAATAATTGATGCAGAAATGGACTGTATGCAAATGAGAAACTGACAGACTCTTCGCTAAGAGCTTGCATATTGGTTGACATGAAACCAGAAATGGAAAAAACAACACGTGGAACTAAGAGCAACATTAGAATATTGCTGTAACTTGTAAATTCGTCTTCTCATTGGTTCGCTTTCGCCAATTCAGGAGAAAAAGTTGCCAATGGTGGAGGCAGTCGGTACGAGCATTCAACAATATAATAAACAGATCCTTAAATATAGACACCTCCACAATGTTAAGCTTCTCATTAATTTAATGCAGAACTTCTCTTCTGGGGTTAAGCCAATGAGATGGCAACATGGGTGCTTATTTCGGTCTATAAATAGCGTAGAAGCAACTAGTTAGTCCAATGTGGGTAGCTTAAGCTATCGTTAAGAATATATAGGTTCTGAGCAGAAGGTTCCATTAATAAGCAAAAATGGAGAAGAAGCTGTGGTTGATGGTGATTGTTGTGGTGGGCGGTATGTTGGTGTTCGGGGCAAGTACTGGAGAGAGTGCATTTGCGATTCCAATAAATCCATGCACGCTTTCTCAGTGCATTGCTCAATGCAAACAGGCTCTGCAGGCCAAGTTTCAGAGTGCAAGCTGTACAACCAGTTCTCAGGGAAAGCTCTGCATTTGCTTGGGTTGAATTTGGATTCTCTTCATTAATATCTCTGTGGAATTCAATGCTAAACTCTGAAGCAAAGATATATGTGTGCGTGAGATTTATGTGCCGTCGTTGAATTCATCATTTAAGTATGATTCGCGACCCACCAATAAATCTCACTTGCTATATATTTTTATCTCTTCAGAGTTAGTGTTGTTAAATTTCAAAGAGAGATTAAGAGGATTCAGATCTTTATTTCTATGTTTATT